AAGCCGTGAGGGAGGGGGAAGCCGTGAGGGGCAGAGCCGTGAGGGGGAAAGCCATGATGGCGGCGGGGCCCGGTGGGATCGGCTGGACCCGCTGGGATCAGCGGGGCCGCGGTGTCCTCTCGATGTCCCCTCGGTGTCCTCTCGGTGTCCCCAAGCCGGTGTTTCCCCGTGTGAGGCCGGTGAAAGGAGCCCGTGGGGCAATACCCGCTCGGAGCAGCAGGGGGTAGGCACGGAGCGTTTGTCACCCTCAGCATCCACATCCGACATTGCCCGGGGATCCATCCAGAGGAAAATAGGGAGAAAAAAAGGGAAAAAGGGGCTTTTACATCCAATATTGACCGGGGATCCATCCAGAGGAAAGTAGGGAGAAAAAAAAGGGGGAAAAAGGGGCTTTTATTGAAGGGAATTGAGGGGTAAGGAAAAGGAAAAACCCAAGGCCGGGGGTTGGCTGGGAATGGGGAGCGTCAGTGACCACAGAACTCTGACTTCAGGGCAAAACCTGAAACAAAAAAATTAAAAAGTAAAGAATAGTTCAGCAAAAACCAAGACAATGAGAAATGCCTAGTATTTACTATACCTGCGAAATTAAAAGAAAAAGCAGACTGATTTCTAATAAATAAAGCCAAAACTTGCAAACAGAGTAAAGAGTGCAAGGCTACCAGCGATCAGTAATAAATCCAAAAACCTAAACTAACAAAAACTAATCTCAAAGTCTAAAATACGCCCAAAAAATTAAGACTCATGCTCCGAAAACAAAAAGTTCAAGTGCAATAAAAAGTTTAAAAGCTTTCATCAAAGACGCCTAACAAGCCCTAAATTAAAAAAAACAAGCACAAAAAGACTTTTAATTCATTTTAATACGACAAAACTAAGCAACACTAAACGGAGCTAAAACAATGTGATCGTTTTGATTTGTCTATTTAAATATTTTAATTTGCTGTTGTGAGACAGAACTAGGAGCAAAAGAGTAAGGTAAGCCTAAAACTTAAAAGGATATAAAAAACTTGATTAACATACAAAGAAAAGAAAGAAAAGCAAATTTAGAATAAGATTTTTAGTCAGTGAGTTTCTCCTCAGGTGAAACCAGAACGAACATAAATATGTATAAGTTTATTGTGTATTCATAAACTTTAAGAAAATAAATAAAACAGTGAAGTTTCAGTGTGCATACTTTAGAAAAAATTATCCCCATACACTTCAACACTAAATAAATACACACCTGCTTTATAAATCTCATTTCTCACGAGTTATAAAGTCTTTTCCACATATCATATCTCAAATAACTTCTATAAAATAATAATAAAAATATTCAAAACCTTCTTCAATGGCTTTCTTCCCTGTTGTTTTTTGTTTTTTTTTTTCAGTGGAAAAGCTCTGGAAAAGCTCCTCAGGGAATGGTCAAAACCCCAAGGATTAAAGCTCTTCTTTCTCTTTTTTTTTTTTTTTTGCCATTTCTTTAGTGTCTGTTCCAAGCAGCGTTGCTGGTAAAGGAAAGGGAATTTTAATTTCTCCCAAATAAAAGTTCGGGCGTTCCCATCCCTCAGTGACTTTGCACAAGGCCTTGAATTTATTTTCCTTCCAAACCAAAGGTTTCTGGACATTTATTTTGCTTTGCCACTGGTTTATTAGCAGAAATTTATTAACATAAATCAGTGCCAGAGGTTTCCAGAGTTCAAAATCACAGCAAGACCTTGGGTCCGTGTCCATGGTAATAATACTGAGCTTTACAATGCCCTTATTGCAGTTAATAAAAATTTGGCTTTGTTTTATCAGGATCAAGAGGAAATTGTGATATCCATTCCTAAACAATGTGGTGCACTAAGCTATGATGTTGCAATTTTGATTTTTGGATTTTTTTCATGCACATATTTGCTCTCTATTGGATGCCGCTCAACTCTTTTATTAATTCAATGTTAGCACACTTAATTCTCATTTGCTTTTGAATTAAATATTCATATGGAATCTCTGAACTTCAGGAAAAAAAAAAAAAGAAAGAGAGGAATTGAAGAAATTCAACTTTTAACTCTTTACAGAATGTCATTTTTATCCTCTAATAGGAAGCACTCTGGATTAATCCAGCCTGTGTTGACATGTCCTTAGGCAATCCCAATTTATCTCCTCTCCAGGGCTGCCACTTCCAGATACTCCAATCAATCCATGACTTATCAGCCCCCTGAATTCAGAAAGATTCATTTCAATCAAGTTTCTATTCGAAATCAAACGATCCAATTACAGATTTATCAAATATTAATAAGGAAAAAAAATAAAATAAAAATCTCCCTGATCTTTTGGATGCCGACATCCTTCTCCCCTGGTGTCAGGAAAGTAATTAGCAGCTGCCTTTGATTAAATTCTTCCCTCGGAGATTGCTGCTCTCAGTTTGAGGGAGAAATGCACATGACAGGATTCCTGATTCCTCCTTTCAGAGCCTTTTTGGGAAAACCCACGTGGGTTCAGTTCAGGGAAACTCCTCTGTGCCCAAAACCTGCAGCTGAAACCTCAAGTTCATGGCCAGGTTTTCCTGTTGTTTCTCAGATGCTTTTTTTCCTCAGGGATCTCCAGCATGGAGAGGACTTGGAGCTGTTGGAGAGTCCAGAGGAGATCATGGAGAGGAAAAGCTCAGGGATTTGGGATTGTCCAGCCTGGAGAGGAGAAGGCTCTGGAAAAAAACCTCAGAGCCCCTTCCAGGCCCCAAAGGGGTTCCAGGAGAGCTGG